TGCCTCCTGGATGGGCAGTATATGGGGTTAAGTGTGCTTCTTCAAGAATTTCTTTCCTCAATCCCTCATCTTTCGGCACACATAACCTCCCCTTAAAAAGTAAGGCTTTATCACTACTTAATTCAAAATCCTTTCGCTTGCTAGTACCAACTTCGGATTTGATCTTTTGTAGGAAAGGGTCACCATCCTGTGCTGCTCTTATTCGATCTCGAAGTGTTGGTCGAATCGTTAGAGCCGCTATCCTGGCACTAGTTTGGATTGGTGGAACAATTACTTCTAGACGTAAGTTGTCGAAATCCTTTAACAACTGATCCTGCATAGTGATTTGTACTGCTAATTGTCCCACTGCCTTTCTGCTAAGAGCATCAGCTACTACATTAGCTTTACCAGGATGGTAATGGATAGTTGTAACATTCCGAAATTTTTTTTAAGAACATAAATAAATTATTATATTATTTTGAAAGTGAGGGATTAAGGTTAAATAAATATTAATATATTATATATTTGGGGTCAAATAATTGGATTTTGATAAAGTAATGATATGTATATCAATATTAGACTCATTTCGAAGGTCGTAATTAATTAGAAGTCTATGACTCGAGAAAAGTTAATTTGGATAAGAACGTTTTAAGTTATACCCAATTGAAAGAAAACAAGATAAATATAATTTTATATAGTTTTAACCCATTTTGAATTTGATTGATTGGCTACCACATTTTTATTGGATAGGAATGGTAGTTCTTTTAGATGAAATAAAATAATGATAAAGTACAATTTTTTTATGATACGTGCCACATTGGATTTGACTTTATCAAATCAAAGTTTTGGTTTATCTACTACTCTAGCCTACACCTATAAATACTAGGCAATGATTTCATATTTTACCACACCAAAAAAATATTCATACGTGAAAGAGAGAGAAGAAAGAAAGAGAGAGAGAGAGAGAACGAGGAAAGAGTGTGTGAAAACAGAAATTTGTCATACATCAACTATCACTGTCGATCAATAAATCATTCACAGAGTAGAGGAAGGAATTTTGGAACGTGCATTCAAATATTTTTCGTGTACATTTCGATAATAAGGTAAGATACATTTATGTGCAAAGTGTTTAGGTTTCCTTATGCTCTTATATGCGATTAAATATGCATGGAATGCTAGTGGACCTTCGGGTTCTAGAGAAAGAGATATGAAATTTCTACATGGAAATTAAGAGGACCTAAGATGGGTGTGTCGCTTGGTCACCGATATACTCCATAAGAGAAGAGCGGTATGAAGTGTATTATTTATTTGTTATATACCTGTGTATGGAAATTTGCACGTATCTTACTGGGTATTTTTAATACTCACTCTTACATTAATTTTTCAGATTAGTTCGGGTCGATTGGAACAGTGGAGAATTGGTGATGCGGACTGCCAAGTAGATAAAGAATAGAGAAAAAGAAATAAGTTTGCCATTTTAAATTTAGCAATTTGTTTATTTTAATTTAGAACGCATTATTTGAATTACTTAGGAGTTTATGTTTATGGTTAGATACGCTTTCAATAATTTTAATTTAAACGTTACAATTATTTGTTTATTGAAGAATTTTATATAGTTCCGCATTTTTTTTTAATTAAAGAAAAATGAGTTTTCGTAACGTTCCCGTGTTTATGCTTGATAAAAAAATTGGGGCGTTACATTGGTGGATGATTGTACAGGTTTTACTTGGGTTTACCTCATGCGGCATAAGTTAGATGCCAGTTGCATCATTCCCAAGTTCTTCAAAATGATTGAAACTCGGTTTCAAATGTCCTTCAAGAAGTTATCCACTAATTCTTTTATGTGGAGAGACCTAAACAAAATTCTTTAATTCAAAGGGAGTTATCCACCAATTCTTTTGTGTGGAGAGACCTGAACAAAATTCGATTGTTGAAAGAAAACATCAACACCTCCTCAATGTTGCTAGAGCCTTGTACTTTTAATCTCAAGTTTCTATTCAATTTATGGGGGGAATGCATCCTCATTGCAACATATCTCATTAACAGAACACTTGCACCAATTTTACAAAACAAATTTCCTTTTCACTATGCTGTATAAGTCTCCAGTTAATTACACTTCAGTCAGAGTGTTTGGATGCTTGTGCTTTGCCTCTACTCTACCCTCTCAAAGATCAAAATTCTATCCCAGGGCAAAGGCATGTATTTTTGTTGGTTATCTCCCAGGAATAGTAGGTTATAGGCTTTATGATATTGTGTCTAAAACCTTTCTAATTTATAGGGATGTTATATTCCATGAGCAAGTTTTCCCTTTCCAATCCATTTCCCAAAAATCAGACAGCATTGATCTGTTTCCCAACATTGTCTTACAAAAATTTCCGTCTAATGCCATTATTTATCCTCCAACTGCTACATCATCTGATATAATAACAAATGACACAGCAAATGATCCTCAAGAATTACAGCCTCACCTTTCCCACTAGTGGTAGCCATTCCTTGAAATCCATTGGTGTGAGAAGATCCTCTAGATCAGCAATCCACCGTCATATCTTAGAGATTACCATTGTAATCTCTTAACAAATTCAAAACAACCTACTGACAAATCTCCTTATCCTCTCTCAAATCACATTTCCTACAACTCATTTTCACTTGCACACAACCATAATCTCCTTACTTTTTCCTCAAATTTTGAGCCTTAATTTTATCATCAAGCTGGAAATTTAAGCATGGGAGAGACGCTATGAAATCTGAACTAGAGGCCATGGAATTAAACAAAACTTGGTCCATCACAACTTTTCCCAAAGGTAAACATTCTATAGGCTGCAAGTGGTTTACAAGATCAAATATAAATTTGATGGCAATATAGATCGATATAAGGCTCGACTGGTGGCAAAGTGGTATACTCAACAAGAAGACTTGGACTTCATAGAGACATTTTCTCCTGTTGGTAAATTTGTGTCTGTCAAAGTTTTATTAACCATTGTTGTAGCAAACAAATGGCACGTTACCCAGTTAGATGTTAACAATACGTTCCTCAATGGTGATCTTTTTGAAGAAATTTATATGGACCTACCACTGGGGTACAATAAGCATGCTAATCTTGGCAAATAGGGGGAGCAATTGATGTGTAGACTTCCCAAATCAATATACGATTTAAAGCAGACCTCAAGGCAATGGTTTTCCAAGTTCTCGAATGCCCTTACTCTTTATGGTTTTCACCAATCAAAATGTTATTACTCTCAGCTTACAAAAAGGTCTGGCAACTCCCTTGTTGCTCTACTTGTCTACGTGGATGACATTGTCATCACTGGATGTGATCATCAGGCGATTGAATCGTTGAAGACATTCTTGCATACTCAATTCAAATTAAAGGACCCTGGACAGTTGAAATATTTTTTAGGATTGGAGATTACCAGATCACAAAAAAGCATCTTCTTGTCCCAGCACCATTATTCTTTTCAACTTCTTGAGGATGCAGGTTTTCTAGCTTGTAAACCTGCAGCATTACCTATAGATCCTAAAGTTTGTCTCAGCTTATTTGAAGGAGAACTGCTTGCTGATGCATCACTACATAGGCGACTGGTTGATCACCTATTATACTTAAACCATCTCAAAGCCTGATATTACGTTTGCAGTCCACAAGCTGAGTCAGTTTGTATCTCAACCTAGACAGCCACATATAGATGTCGTTAATCATCTCTTGAGGTATATCAAATCCACTTCAGGTTAAGGACTCTTATTTTCAGCACAATGCTCTTTCTAGTTAAGAGCCTTTGCTGATGCGGACGGGAGATCTTGCCTTGATTCAAGAAAGTTTGTTACTGGATTCTGTGTATTTCTTGGATATTCCTTGGTTTCATGGAAAGCTAAGAAGCAAACCACATTATCTAGATCTTCAGCTGAGGCAAAGTATCGTGCATTGGCATCTACAGTTAGTGAACTGGTTTGGCTTAGTCAATTGCTTCACGATTTCCAAATTTCATCACATGTTCCTGCCTTGATTTTTGTGATAACCAGGCAACTATTCATATTGCATCTAATCCAATTTTCCATGAACGCACTAAACATATAGAATTCGATTGTCATTTCGTTCGAGATAAAGTAGGGATGTCAATGAGCCGAAACTTGAGGCTCAGGCTCGACTCGAGTAAAGTGAGCGAGATTTTTTTTGGGCCCGAGCCGGTTTGCTCGGTCAAAAAAATTAAGCTCGACCCAAGCTTTTAGGTAGGGAGCACTTTGCTGCCTTTAAGGTTCTTTTTTTTTTTTTTTTTTTAAATATACAAATGAATATACATGTTATCCTTCACTGATTTTCATCGCCCCACTTCCAATTATGAAATTTTTTGCTCCATCATTCACATTTAATACCATCAGCATTCACATTAGTTAATTTGTCATTGAAATTATATCCATATTGTTTAATGAAGTTGGGATGCATTTTTATTTATTGGACAATTTAACTATTGTCCATTGTTATAAGTTTTGGGCTGCCTCACAGTTTGCTACATGAATTGGGCCTATTAAATTGGTTGATGTTATTCGGCCCAGTTGTTATTTTGCCCGCAGCCCGAGCTAGTGAACCGAATTGTCATCCCTGAGATAAAGTCACTAAGGGTTTCATCAAACTAATGCCTATTTGAATCCAGCATCAACTTGCTTATATATTTACAAAGGCATTACTGGCTTCTCTCTTATTTCCCTTATTAACCAAGATGGCTGTCCTCAACATCCATAGTCCATTTTGAGGGGGAGTAACAGAACTGCACCAACTTGGAGTCACTAGAGCTAAGCTGGAGCTGGTTCAATTTGTTAGTTTGTTAGTTAATTCCACGTGTGTAACAACCCAATGTTAGTTTGTAAGTTAGAATCTTCTTCCTCTATTTCTAACACATTGGAATGTATTGTAAAGTGAACCATGATTGATAAAATTCAGTACATTTTTCTTCGCTTGATCCTTATTTTCAGTCCATTTAACATGATGCTGGTTTGTATATTGAAAAAAGTTACTATGGTCGGTTAATGATGTATTATATATTGGATAGGGGTTTTCTTAAAAACAAAATTAAATAATGTACCATGAAAGTATTTGTTTATTTACATGTACTTTTAGAAACTCAGAAGAAATATTGTTTTGTTATTGAAATATCTGTGACATCAATCTTACTAATCCCGCTAATTTATATACCTTGTTTCCTCTCACTTACAGAATTTTCCGATTGTTTGAGATCCTATTTCGAGAGTATCAAATCCATATATTGTTTTTGCTTGTCCTTAATTATTCAGGTTGATGTGTTGGTCAGTTTTTTGAGTTCATAAATAATCATTCACCTAGCTAGATTAACTAATATCATTTAACTACGAATATTATTTTGCATCGGCATTATTCATGAAATGCATCCACATAGATTGCTATTGGCTATAGTTTTATCACATTGTCCCCTCTTAAATCCAGTTTCTTTGCAAGCCTCGTTGCAGTCTCTGTAATCTTTACATTTCCCTATGTATTCCATCCCTTTGTAACATTCAGGACCTGCAGCTTTGGAAAAAGACATACGAAACTTTGTGGGAAATTTTTCTGTCAAATTATCCTTAAATTATGCAAAAAATTATGTAGAGAGAATGAAATCACGAAGATAAATTTACCTAATCAACCTTTTTCATGAGGTGGTTTTTTTTTTTTTTTCCAAAACAATTTTATGAAATGAATTTTTCTTTACTTCTCTATCTCTCTCTCTTTGGATCACTTGAATGAAAAAAGAAAAAAAAAAAAATGGTCCAAATTTTACACTGGCTTGTACCCTATTTAGCTTCTTCAGTAGAGTTACGTTTGATTTGGGACGAATTTTTAATCTTTATTTTCCGAAACAAAAATTAAAAAAAAAAGGATGAGAAATGAAATTACCTGAAGTGTTTTCAGCTGAGCAGAGCAGCAGCAATGTCAAGAAAGCAATGGGAGATTTGGCGGTAGAAGCCATTCTTATGTAATACTTTCTTTTGTGTCTATGAAATGAGATTTGGGTTTCACATTCTATTGCTATAAATAGGTCCTCACATTATTTGCTGGTTTGAGGTCCATCTTAAATATTCAAGATTTTTAAGAAAAATAGTCTAACTCTTATAAATTAGTCTATATTTTCATCTTTATTCGATGTGGGATTATATTCCTTAACATAATTGCGGTAATCAACATATAAAATTAATTGCCATGTAATTTACGTTAGAGATCCATTTTTTTTTTCCCTTTCACAACCAGCCTAAAATTGAGGTTTTTGGGTTCAATAAATCCGACCCCAAAACTGATACAAGTAGGGTTGGGTCAGTTTCACAGGTTTATTGTCCGACTCTATTATTTAACATTTGTTGGTCTTAGACTTTTAGCCCCAGTTTCCTTCTCATTATTTGACCATTAAAATGAAAAATATGACCGTTATCCATCACATCAAACTACCATATTTGAATTTTTATCTCTTGCACGGGACGCGTAACGATTATATTTTTCATTCTCATTTACATTAATGGAAAACAAACGGAGCCTTGGTATATAACTTGTTTCAATAAAATATTATATGAGAAACATAATATTAAAAATTTACAATGAAGAAGATTTTATTTAACTTTTGATGGTGCCTGATGCATATTAGTTTTTGTTCATCTTTTTAATTATTTATAGTGGTATTATATATAGCAACGGATAAAAAATCATTCTCCACCATTAATTATTTTTATTCAACATCGTTATATGAATTGTGTTTTGATAATTGAGCACATAAACTCGTCCTATCATAAACTCGTCCTATCTGGTAACAATCTAATAACCAAACAAGCATTGTTCATGATGTCTCTATCAATTACGAGTGCATTGACACTGATTAACAATGCCCTTAACTTTAACACAACATCCCTTCTTATATCCAGTTTCTTAATTTGCGCCTTCTCGTTGTCTCTATCTTTAAGGACAATTCCCTCTGTTAAAACATACATCCTTTATCTTCACTTGCAACTGAAACTTCATGGGAAAAAAATGTCGACTATATATAGTAAATTCTTTTTACGAAATCTTTATCTATGTAAAAATTTATTTTCAATTAAACTATACTAGATGGCATGTTTTATGAACGACGAAAAAAGTAATAGTTTTAGAGTGGAGGCTAGATCTAAATTCCAAAAAAAACTTACTTCACGTGGAGATCTAGAGTACAATGTAAGGTATGTGAATACACATTATTGACATCAAGTTTGAAATTACCGCTCAAGAATGATCAAGTACCACATGGATGAGTATGAAATTACTTGTTACGTATCCCTAATAATTATGAAATCACTATCTTATAACACTAGATTCCCTATATTGTTGTGATCAAGTATCATGTAGAAATGCACCAAATTCATAAGGTGTAATTGTCGTATGTGTCGATCAATTTACCTTCCCACAAGAATCTCCTATATCATTGCAGTCGAATATCAAGTAAAAATGCACTGAATTCGTAAGCTACAATTTTCGCTCGTTGATCAACTTGCCATAGATGCTAGATCAACTTTTACATTGCCCCCAGGGCACATCTCCAAGTGGTAAAAAGGGAGGGTGGAGAAATTCAGCTTTGCTTGAGGCTGCTGCGTCAAGAGTTCGAATCTTGAAACATGGATTTGGCTCTTGAGTAAGTGCAAGTGTACAAGCAGCCTTCCACCCTGTACCCTTGGAGGCATAACCTGCGATTTACCTCCCTCACGATGCTCCAGGGCAGGAGTGGTGGGGGACCCTTAAGATTAGCGTTTAACCTTTTTAGATCAACTTTTACATTAACTGTGTAATCACCCAAAATTTGTGTAATCTCTGTCATTAGTTTCTGCATTTTATCCCTGATTTTCTATTTTCCCTTGCTAGCAGTGCTCTCTTGATCTACCAACCTCGAGTCTATTTTGTTCCTCCTTCCACTGACCTCGTAAAAGATTTGTTTAATCCCTAAAAAGGTCATCAGTTTAGTTTCCTTCTTTTATAGGTTTCCTTTTTGTTTACCTTTCTTGTAATATATAAAAACTTATGTATTTTCATTAAAAACCTAATTTTGATGGCTCAACAGATCAACAGATTATTGTTCACTCTTTCTTCTTCTTCTCTTCTCTTTCACTGTATTGGCTCAAGATAGTTCATATTGTTAACAATTATACCACCCAATTATATCATTTCCGTGTGTGTGTGTGTATATATATATAGAAAAAGTTAGAGGGCCACACGGACTAGTCCAGCAAGAGCTGCCAATTCCATTTCATCTTGTATCTAATTTGAGTATTACAATGTCTGAGAAATTAAAATGCATTCCAATTTCATTGTACAACGTGATAAATAATATCATTGTTAATAAAATCAATATTAAACACCATTTATGCTAATTAATATTACTCCTTCAAGTAATTGCAAATCAATTTAGTATGATATACATACGTAAATATGCCGAGCCAATGTTCTTCTACGTTCTCCTAAACTTTAGAAGACAAATTTTAATCGAGGGAGCATGTTACGATTATGAGACTAATCAACTAGTTAGGATGGAACATTGTTTTGAACAAACTAGATTAAAAAGCATAAAAAATATTTTTGATCAACAAGAAGCAAATTTTGATCCAGTTATTTTTGGAAACAATATACAAAGCTCCCGTTTGGTTCAACTAATTTTTTTTTATTAAAATTCAAGTCAAAGATAATAATTAACAATATCCCAAGCTTTGGTTTGGTTCAACTAATTTTTTTTATTAAAATTCAAGTCAAAGATAATAATTAATTTTAACCACGAATTTCATGGGATTCACAACTTTTTAATCACACATTTTATCAAATTTGATCAAAATATACTAAAAATCTAATTTTAATCAAAACCAAATAGGGACATAACAAGGTAACATCTAAAATTTTTATCGAAACCATTTTTATCAAGCCTTGTGTCTGACACGAAGCCACTTTCCGGTAATGGAAGCTTGGTAGTTTAACCAGAGCTAGATTAAACACCCGCTCTTATATCATGAAGAATTTGAACAATTTGGTGAAAGGAGCTTTAATTTTCATACATAACATATAAAATCTGCATTGCAACTAGAAGTGTAGTAATGCTGATTACATGGAATTTTACATAAATAGAAAAAAGCTATCATTGCCACATTTTGTTTCTTTATTGTTGCCATGATTTGATGTATTTTTCTCTAAACAAATTCCATATAATCATCTCCATGATTAGTTGCTTATCTTTCATGATTTGAGACATTTGTTCCCTTGATAAAATGTTATATTTATATCTCGACTATTAACTACACATACAATCATCTTCTCATGTCATATTAGAGTCCCTTAAGTTTCCACGAACAATTCAATTTCGATTCGATTAAATTCAAATGAGTACACGAATTTCATGAATAATCTGCACAAATGAGTCATCATCTTACATGGAAATATTAAGAGATAAATATACCTCAATTTTTGATATATATATCTATTCCTCTTAGTAAGATTAATCTATTAAAATGAAATCTCAGGCTTAATACCTCATCAACCCATTTATTTTACAATAAATTGTAATTGGTTGATTACTAAAACTTTGAAGAATATTATTCATCATCACTGTGGCATTTCAATTGTGTGGGACTCTGCTGCTTGGGCCAAACACATGAAGAGAATTTCAGGTTAAAAAATCAGCAATTATTTTCTACAAATTTATGTATTGTTAATTTTTTTATTATTATTATTTTTTTTTTTGGGGGATACATGACCATAGATTTTTTGTATGGAAAATTCTTATGCGTGACATCGTGGTTTTTCTTGTTCTATTTGTGGTTTGTTCAATAAATAAAAATTGGTGGAAATGGTCAAGTTCAAGGTATTTTATCAGCAATACTTGGGAGCTTGTTTGAGTGAAATTCTATATGATTGTAGTAGGTTTTCATATAATGAAAGTTTTAATAGTTCATGAATTTTTTGTACTATATTTATGTTTTCTAGTTCGCTATTTTTCTTTGAACAATAAAATCACGTGGACTAACGAAGGGAAATTGTCTTAGTTCCAAATATTTAGATGACTTTAATTGGTCTTTCATCTTAAATGTAGGATTTAAGATGACAAATCAGTTGATTTATGATCTTGAGCACCGCTTATAAATAGCAAAATTCTAAAACTTTTGTAATTTATGTAAAATTTCACTTGATCAGTGACAACAAGAAAAAAACCAAGAGCGACCAAA